ACTGTCATTGTCTATATTTACTAATTTGCTTGTTCCTGCTATATACATTAAGTAGTTTCAGAATCAATAATCATGGTCTGGAGTACATACATTTATGTATAGTTCTTTTTATCCGGAGTTTTATAGTATAGGCATACCTCATTTCATCGCACTTTGTTTGATTGTGCTTCCAAGGGTTTTTGTCTCTTGTTTTTGTTTTCAAATCGAAGGTTCATGGCAACACTGCCTCGAGCAAGTCTATCAGCATCAGTTTTCAAACTACATATGCTCACTTCATGTCTCTGTCACCTTTTGGTAATTTCTGCAACATTTCAAACTTTTTCATTATTATTATATCTGTATGATAATCTGTGATCAGTGATCTTTGACATTACTATTGTAATTGTTTTGAGGGAGGCCCCATGAACTGCGCTCATAGAAGATTGAGAAATTAATCAGTGAATGTTGTGTGTGTTCTGACTGCTCCACCGACCAGCTGTTAGTCCATCTCTCTCCTCCTCCTCAGGCCTCCCTATTACTTGAGACACAACATTACCGAAATTAGTCCCATCAATAACCCTACAATGGACTCTAGGTATACAAGTGAAAGGAAGAGTCACGTCTTTCACTTTAAATCAAAAGCTAGAAATGATTAAACTTCAGTGAGAATGGCATGTCAAAAGGAGAGACAGACTGAAAACTAGGCCTCTTGCTCCAAACAGGTAGCCAAGTTACGAATGCAAAGGAAAAGATCTAGAAGGGCATTTGAAACACTACTCCAGTAAACACATGAATAAGAGAGCCACCCAGCCTTGTTGCTGATATAGAGAAAGGGAGTGGTCTGGATAGAAGATCGAACTAGCCACAACATTCCCTTAAACCAAAGCCTAATCCAGAACAAAGTCCCTAACTCACTTCAATTCTATGAAAAGAGATGAGGGAGCTGCAGAAGAACAGCTGGAAGCTAGCAGAGATTGGTTCCTGAGGTTTAAGGAAAGAAGCCATCTCTATAACATGAAAGTGCAAGGAGCTGCCGTAAGTTATGCAGAAAATATAGCAAGATAATTGATGAAGGTTGCTACACTAAACAACAGATTTTCAATGAAACTGCCTTCTATTGGAAGAAAATGACATCGAGAACTTTCATAGCTAAAGAGAAGTCAATGCCTGGCTTCAAAGCTTCAAAGAACAGGCTGACTCTCATGTTAGGGGCTAATGCAGCTGGTGACTTTAAGTTGAAGCCAATGTTCATTTACTATTTTGAAAATCCTAGGGCCCTTAAGAACAGTGCTAAATCTACTCTGCCTGTGCACTATAAATGAAGCCAAAAAGCCTGGATGACAGCATATCTATTTATAACATGGTTTACTAAATATTTAGTAGGCCCAGTGTTGTGACCTACGGCTCAGAAAAATAAAGAATCCTTTTAAAATATTACTGCTTATTGGCAATGCATCTAGTCACCGGAGAGTTCTGATGAAGATGTACAGGGACACAAGTATTGTTTTCAGGCCTGTTAACACAACATCCATTCTGCAGCCCATCGATCAAGCAGTAATGTCTACTTTCAAGGCTTATTATCTAAGAATACATTCTGTAAGGCTATAGCTGTTATATATAGTTGGTCCTCTGATGGATCTGGACAAAGCAAATTGCAAACCTTCTGGAAAGGATTCATCATTCTAGATGCCATAAAGAACATTTCTTAGCTGGGCACAGTGTCTCATGCTTGTATCCTCAGCAACTTGGGAGTCCAAAGGGGGAAGATCACTTGAATCCAGAAGTTCAAGACCAGCTCGGGCAACATTGTGAGCCCACATCTCTACCAAAAAAAAAAAAAAAAAGAAAAGAAAAAGAAAAAAAATAGCCGGGCATGGCGACATACACTTGTAGTCCTCCTAGCTAATCAGTTGGCTGAGGCGAGAGGGTGCCTGAGTACAGGAGTTGAAGGTTACAGCATGTTTGCGCCCCTGCACTCAAGCCTAGGCAACAGAGTAATACCATGTCTCTAAAACAACAACAACAAAAAATTCATGATTTATGAGAGGATGTCAAAATTTCAACATTAACACGGGTTTGGAAGAAGTTGCTTTTAACCCTTATGGATGACTTAAGGGTTTGAGGTGTTCAAGACTTCAGTGGAGGAAGTAACTGTAGATATGGTGAAAATACCAAGAGAACTACAATTAGAAGTGGAGCCTGATGATAATGATTGAATTGCTGCAATCTCATGATAAAATGTGAACAAATGAAGGGTTGTTTCTTATGCGTGAGCAGAGAAAGTAGTTTCTTGAGAAGGAACCTATTCACGGTGAAGATGCTGTGAACACTGTTGAAATGACAATGAAAGATTTATAATAGTTCACTGACTTAGTTGATAAAGCAACACCAGGGTTTGAGATGACTGACTCCAATTCTGAAAGACACTCTACTGTGGGTAAAGTACTATCAAACAGCATCTCATGCTACAGATAAATCTTTTGTGAAAGGAAGAGTAAATCAATGTAGCAAACTTCATTGTTGTCCTATTTTATGAAATTGCCACAGCCACTCCAACCTTCAGCAACCACCACCCTAATCAATCAGCAGCCATCAACATCGAGGCAAGACCCTCCACCAGCAAAAACATTATCATTCACAGAAGGCTCAGATGATTGTTAGCATTTTTTTTAGCAATACAGTATTTTTAAAATTAAGGTACATACATTTTTAGACATACTTTTTTGTGAATAATGCTATTCACACTTAATAGACTACAGTATGGTATATATATAACTTTTATATGTACTGGAAAATCAAAAATTTGTGTGACTTGCTTTGTTGTGATATTTGCTTTATTGTAGTGGTCTGGAACCAAACCTGCAATAGCTCCAAAGTAGGCCTATATGTATAATTCAAATACTGTTTTACATAGCTATTTAGGTTAGTGGTTTTATTTCTTATCCCTTTGAGATGAGATTATTGTTATGGGTTCCTCCCACATCCTGGTTGATTTTAATTATTTATCTATTTTGGGGTGCTAAAATATTGTCATAAAGACTTTAAATTAATTAAGAAAATGGACTCAGATAAATGTTATTTCCTCTTCATCCCTTTTACCCCATTCCCATCTCCCATTCTTGCCATCTGTTATTTACCTACATTCTGTATGTTACCAATTTCATTAGTTTCTAGCTTTTGATTTCTGTATTTGTTTTGGTACAAATGAGAAGACAACACACAAATTCTTACGTATTTCTTTCTCACATAGAATGTTGCATATTGTTGATACTCTTTTGTACTTTGCTTACTTGAACTTCACAATATATCCTGTACATTTTTTCATATCAATTTCTAGAGATTTTCAATATTTATTTTTACAGCTCCATAGTATTCCGCCATGTAGATATGCCATAGTTTATTCAACCACTCCCCTATTTATGGGTATTTACATTAGTGCCAATATTTTATAATTATAAACAATGCTACAACAAATTATTGTACATGTATGCATTTCAAATTGTTGGGGGCCTATGTAGGACTAAAATTTTGATTTTCTGTTGCCTTGTCCAATTCTGTTTTAGATCGAATGGTATAACTGAGAGCACTTTGAAAACTAAAAAAAAAAAGGTTGTATACACTAAATATAGCAAAATAATACTTCGTTATTTGCATTATTTTCTTTATCTAATTTAATTGTATCTTCTTTGGAAACAGGCAGTTCAAATCAATAAACACTTGTCCTTAGCTACTAAACCAGACAGTTATTTTGAAAACTTCTCCTATCTTTTAAAATTCTAATATCATCAATCACATACTCCCTCACTAAGAATGTCTTTTTAAACTTTTTAAAATGTTTTCTAGAGACAAGGTCTTACTGTGTTGTCCAGGCTGGTCTCAAATTCCTGGCCTCAAGTAATCCTCCCATGTCGACCTCCCAAAGTGCTGGGATTACAGGTGTAAGCCAACACACCCAGACAAGAATGTTTGGTATTTACTAGTTTTTACTTAACAATTGAATCTATTATTTGTACAGTTCCTAGTCATAAAATACTCTAGTATTATATTAAATTATTTTTTCTCTATTTTATTCCTTTAGATATAGGAGACAAATTAAAACTGAAGCCCTAATCTGGTTCCTTCTATTCCCTACATATGACGTCAAATAGGGTAGGAGGAATAAAACAGGATCATATGGTGCCAGGAGCACTCTCAGGGTTGTCTGACAATGAATTAGCAAGGCTTGGGGACTCTCCTTCCTCCTGGCAGGAGGAGTTACCCCAAACTCAGCCTCCTTTGGAATTGAGGGCTCTCAGCGCCCCCAACATATCCACCTCCTGCAGTGCTCACATTCAAAATGTGCAAAGGATGCTACACAGCCTATGTAGGGTCTATCCTTGGTCCTGCCTCTATCCTGGGTTCAAGGAATCCCTCATGTGGCCTATCCTAGTTTATCAGGAGATTGCCTTGGGATTTGGAATCTGGGAACTTAAGAGCATTTGCCTTGTTTTATGCCTTGTTTTATCCTTCATCATGACCTACAAAATGTGTTTAACCCACCATGAGACTACTGCCAGATCTGACCAGGCCTCAAAAGATCATTTGTTAGGAATCTCTTAAGTTTTGGAGAGATATTAGTCCTGGGTCCTGCAGTGTGAACAGATTCAACTGAACAAATGTATGTAGCAAAAAGAATTTCAGGTCTACCAAAAGGTAAGTTCTGATATGGCTTCAAATGTATGCCTCACTTATGTAACCAATTATGTCAGTAATTACATATGATGTAGAGTCTAATTTATCAGCAGTTTGAGAGTGACTTTGCTGTCTGGGTTAGGAATAAGTCAGAGTTTTGGAACTTGCATCAAAACGTCTTCCACCATGGTCATGGGAGTCAAGTAATGCGTCAAACTGTGTCTTTGAATTCAAGCTTCTAAAAATTATATTCTAGTTAATTTTTTATAACTCAAGCAATCACATGGAAAACAAAGTTTGTCATAAACACATAAAAAAGCTTCTAGGTGATATTGCTCTTATGCTCTTACCTCCTCGATCTCGAGCAGCTAAACTTTGACCCCTTCTTAATGTAATGTCCAGCTGGTACATGCCGGGATCAGCCAAGGGGACTTCCGCATTACTGGTTCCAGCAGTGCTTATTTTCTGGAAAACACAAAATATAAAAAATATTAAATTTATTATCTCTGTTCTATTTTTTCCAAAGGGGGACCATATGTAGCTTAACCCTAATCATAAGAATTACTCAATAAAATAAATAATCTTCTGATTTAATACAGTCTTATCATCACCCAGTTCTCCGAAGGTTTCGAAATTTATGAAATTCTCTAGACTCAAAATAAAAACATGGCAGTTACAGAAATGTCCTGTTTTAACTCAGATTATGGATAACAAATGGAATATAAAAACATTTCCCATGGAAGTCTCCACACAATCCAACTAAGAAATATGAACATAGAAATACTGTGTGAAGTGAAAACATAATCAATGATGAGTGGAGAATAAGAACAAGAGCAGTTCACTTCTACCTAACCGGAAATTAAAACTAAAATGATTGATTCAGGTGACTGTTGACTCATTTATCTGTTCAGAAAAGCTCATACCTATGAATTAAGCACTTCTGCTTCAGCCCCAACATAAAATATAATTATATAGAAATAAATTCACCTAGCATTTTGGCAATATTTGCAAGAAATATATTCTCAATGGGGCTAAATTTCTAGTGCTGCTTTGTACGGAATAAAAGTGCATAAGCCATTCCTAGATCTAAAAATGTTTGTGAGGCTGCCTCTATAGAATTTATTTTTAGCAACAATATACTCTTAATAATTTACTAGGCATTGAATTACGAGGAATAACTATATTAAAACAACATAAATGAAACATGTAGTAAAAATTCTTCAGGTCATATTTTTAGTCTGTGTCATTCTGTATACAATAGGAAAGCTTTCCTTTGTGTGTTTGGGATTAATTTAAATTCTTAAAATTTTTTTTCTGATTCAAAAGGAAATGTCCTTTTGTCTTAGAATATGCATGGATGAGGTAAAATAACAGACAGCAGTCTTTTAATTCCATAATTCACATAAAATGAAACAATAAAGCAGCATTTAAACAATCTTTAAGGTATATAATTCACATATCCGACATTTGCTCATTAAAGCAGCATATTTTTTTGAGGTTTTAAGATCAAGGCAAATAGCTTTGCTGTTGGAGCAATTATTATTTAAAACAAGAGGCAGCACAGCTTTGATTGATAACCTGAACTCATTGTCTCTCCTCTGGTAACAATAAAAAATAATTCACTTCACCTTCTCATGATATCCTTGTTTCTATAAATGATCCCTCAGTCACTCAGCCTATAAATTGCTGAGTCATCTTTGACTTCTTCATTTGATTCCCACCCACATCCAAATAGTTGTCAAATCCCCCCCACTCCATTTCTGTATGACATCTCCCAATTGTCTTTTTCTTTTAATTCCTATTACCACTCATTTGGATCAGGCCTTTGAACAACAAAGGAGTAAAAAGTAAAATGATTGTCTTGCTCTTCCCTTACCCATCTGATTGTGGCCACCAGTGACAACAATTTGGGAAATATTTTTCACACTTTTGAAAGTCTTATGAAAACATATACACATACATATAGCTTTGTTTTTTTGTGGTTGGGCTTTCAGTTTTCCCTAGTTTTAAACAAAGAGAGTATCATATTTTGTCTATTATGAACAACTTCTAGAAAAACATCATGGGCACTTTTCTAGTCAATACATACACATACACCTTTCCCTTTAAAATGTTCTAGCTTTATTGAGTCACAATTGACAAAATTATATGATTTTCTGATATACAACATAATGATTCAATATACATATGTTTTGGGCAGTGATTACCACAATCAAGTTAGTTAACACATCTCTCACCTCACTTGTTTACCCTTTTGTTTTGTTTTGTGGTGAAGACATTGAAGCGAATTTCAAGTATACAATTCAGTACTCTTAACCATTCTTTGCCATTTCCATTTTGATAAGGTTATTTCTAGTATAATGGACAAACATTATTTTGTAAAGTGACTTTATATTCTGTCACTTTTCAAGTCATATTTTGGGTTGCCTGTGTATAGAAATCATATTGTCTGTATATAATGCCTTCTGACTCTTATTTTCTAATATTTCAATTGCTTATTTTAAAATCTTATTGTGTTATCTTCCAAAGACTGTTAAAAAATGGTGAAAACTGTGAACATTTCTGAATTAGATTTGATTATAATGTGCATGCCTTTTAGTATTTCACAATTTAACACGACGTTTATGAAGCTTAGGCTTTTTCTTCTCTTAATTTATTTGGGCTTAAAAAAAAGCACAGTTGAATTTTATCAATAGATTTTCAGCATACGTTAATAAGATCATACAGAATTTTTGTTGACAGATTTTTCTAACATTCAATCATCTGCATATTTCCGGAGTAGAGTCTACTTGGCACTCTGAATTTGTTCACTCTAATGTACAATCATGATTATGTTCGAAACTATCTATCATACGTCAGCATACTTGAGTATATCCATACTTCTTAGGAAGGCATTCATAGCCCCCATGATATATTAAGTTGGTGCAAAAGCAATTGTGGTTTCTGCCATTAATTTCAATGCAATTACTTTTGCACCAACCTAACTCAAGCCTATCATTATAAACTGAGCCTTCACTTCTCTTCCACAAATTCTGGACCATTTTTACTTAACGGAATAGAATTTACACTTTAAAAACTTGTATCTTCATTCTTTACTCTTGACCAGGGCTGCCTTCCCTTCTTGTTTCCCATGTCTTCCTACCCAGTCTTCAAGGACCATTTCACTAGCACTTTATATCTTTCTTTTCCATTACCACATTCTATCTCAAATGTCATATTTGTCATTTTAAATTATAAACCTTTAAAATCAGGGAATAGAATATTTAAGCTTCAAATTGAAAATGAATTATGCTAGAGGCTACAAGGATAGAAAGATGTCTTTACCAGCACCTGATCCAGCTGAGTAGAAACATCAATGGGGATCTAAATAAAGTTGGCGAATCCATGGGCAGTTTGTTCTCTCCTCCTACACTCATGTAATGCATCCAATTTGCTTTGGCACCCTACTCGAGGAACCCAGGTATACCCTTAGAATCCTTCTCAATACAGTGCTCCAGGCAGCCATTACCAGTTGATAAAAATTAGCACTTAAAATCCAACCCTGTCCACTCAGGAGCTGTAATAAAAGACTGACTGTAATATACTGGAGGTATGAAGTCATTGGGAGAGAAGGACAGTGGATCAATTATGATGGGAGAAGACTCTCAGGAGACCTTATAAAGATAACCATGGAGCAGGGTCTGAAAATATGTGTAGAACTTTGACAAGTGAAGATTTGGAAGGAGGGAGCATCAGGAAAAATCAACATGAGCCCAATGGTAAGCAGTCACCAAAAAGCGCATCACTAGATTGCATGAAAAATAAGGTGGAAATGAAGACTAATGTACAGTGAGGCCCAGCTAAGGAGGTTTCAGTCTGTAGGCAATGTCAAACCATCACAGGCTTCTGAAGACAGAAACAACAGAACCAGGCTCCAGGGAACACACACTTACTGCCTTACATGTTTTATGCTCTGGGCCAAATGCTTAGATTTTAGCGATGAACAAAACTCGGGACTTTTCCCTCTGTAAGAGGGGTGAGAGTAGAGAAATCCCGTGGATCTAGAAATTATTTAAAAGGATTTACAACTGTTCAGTTTAAGTCATTTTAAGTCAGTTTAAGTCTTAAACTGTTCAGTTTAAGAGCCTGATCTGACCAGTGGTAACAAAAACAAAAGATGGGTTTGAGAGATTGAGGAGATTCGATCAACTGAATTTGCAACTGACAAGATGTGGGAGATGTGGGAAACAGTGGGCGAGTCACACCGAAGTTTGAGCTGTGCTCCTGGGAGGATGGTAACACCCATAGTAGACAGCAGAAATGAGAGGAGGAGCAACTCCAGGCCACCACTGTGTCAGCTCCAGGGATCACCCAACTCCATCAAAGAACATCAAGAACTTTAGAGGATCTAGAGACACATCTCCTCTCAGGCTCACTATAATGGTTCCAAGAAGAAAATCAGCAGGCTGGTTATGGAGGGATGCTGGAAACAAATGTGTATTTTTTATTGTAAAGTATCTTCTAAAAAGTGTTCATGAAGCTTCCAAACATAAAGCTATCTTAGGAAATATGTATCTGAAGTGCTAGGCTCACATATATTAAAATCTCTAAAACAAACTTTGTTCACCTCTGAAATTTTAAATATCCTGAATGATATATCTAAGTTGTCTGCTCTCGTGGTCTGCTTTTTGTAACCAAGAAAATGGTACTTTCACAGAATTGAACAGCTGTAAGAAGTTAATGATCTGTGCAGTTATTTTTAGGGCCCGTCTTCCTGCTAACCTGTAAGCTCCATATAGGCAGAGGCCGTGCTTGTTTTGTTCACAGGTGTATCCCTCCAAATCCCGGGCACTTAGCAGAGTTCCTGGCAAGGAGTAGGTGCTCAGTACATGTTTTTAAATGAATGAGCTAAGACATTAATAACTGATAAGAGCTTAATTTTTAAAACTCTTCCCAGGAGCGTTTGCATTTTCAGAGGTCAATTAGAGAAAGAGTAGCAACGAAAGACATGATTGTCAAATGGAGGAATCCTAGGTGGGAGGAATCATGGGCAGGAAGGCCAATTGGGCATTCAGGGAGTGCTTTATGTTTAACCTCTCCTTATTCTTCATTTATTATTTCAATGTGGTTTATTATGCCAGACCTTTAAATGCCAGACACCTTTGATAAGAGGTCTAGAACATGAAACTTTAAAATTTTGTAGGTTTAAATGCTACCTCCCTAATGAAGTCTTTTACATTACTCAAATAAAAGTTACCTTCTCTTCTCTCTGCTAGCCCATTCTTTTCCTGCTTCTGTAGACTGGATTTCTTAAAGCCAAATGATGCATCATATAAACATTTAGATATTCAAGACATAAACTGGAGGGAACACCAGGTGCTCTCTGGAATTAATCTCTCTTCTTTAATAGCTGTAATCTAGCTATTTCCTAGTATTCTACTTTTGAACATCTGTTGCAGAAAATACAGACTGGGTAAACCAATGTG